ATGCTTGCAGACAGGTGGTCTAAATGTCGTGGTTAACAGAGACAACAGGACGGGTTCATTTACAGAAGAAACACCTTAACAAAAGATCTATGTCTGTGTCACTGTCCACCTGTTCCTGCAGACTGTTACATGATATTTTTGAGCTCCACAGTCCTCGTCTTTCTGTGTGCATGTGTGTGAACAGAACAATATGGAGCACTGTAATCATATTAAGTATGTAACAAGGATTATAAGGGTTTGGAGTGCTGGGGGTCCTTTTCATAGGGGAATGCAAAGCTTCTCCTTTGAGACTGCCACTAAGTGGTTGTCTTGGGGGCATGTAGGGGAAGGATTTTCAGTTTATTTAGGTCATTGTTCCCGTCATCCGTCCTCGCAGTCACAACTCAAATGTCTATATGCTTGATTATATACACACAGGGCTTTATTTTGTAGAAAAGGCCCAGCAGGAACTCATTAGCATATTAGGCCACACCCAACAGCAGAAACCCATTAGCATAATAGGCCACACCCCATGGATTCCCTTGGCTTGCCCGGGCACCCCACGGCTGCAGGGAGCCTGGGGAAGCCAGCCCTTGGACAGGCAGGGGAAGGCATGGGGAGGCATTTAAATGCCTCCCCGATCCTTCCAGGGCACCCCCTGGCCTGCCTGCCTTGGAGTCGCCGGGATGTGTGTGTCACTCTCCAGGCCTTCCCTCTGTAGCCACGCACACGCAGAGGTTTTGGCTGTAGTGGGCGTGGCCAACTCTGAAGCCAGCCAGAACTCCGTTCCTGTGCGTTCCTGCTCCAAAATAGCCCTGTATGCACATATATACACATATATCAAATATAACCTCCTGTCCTATGAGATAATGTTGACATTTAGTTTATTATTATTACTTGATTCAGTTTCTATCACTGCCTTCCCACAAGCGGGCTCAGAGCGGGTTACAACATTAATATAAACAATAAAATCAAGATTTGAAACTATAAACTTAATCATTAAAAGATGGCGATCAAACTGCATCACGGTTATTACAGTGGTGCCCTGGTGTTAGAAAATTAAGACAGAGAGGACTGGATCCCATAAGGGATTGGCCACCATAATTATTATTTGAAGCTTAGGTACATTGCACATACAGTTTAAATAAATAAACTTGATGCAGATGGGGTTTTTTTTCAGTAAGTGTAATAATATTCCTTGCCACAGTCTTTTAAAAAGATATTCTTGGCCAAAAAAAAATAGTATTATTGAATAACAGTCATGGGTATACTTCAGTTATTTTTCACAAGGACCCCATGTGGTAGGTCTTTAATATCTTATTTTACAGAAAGAGAACTGACAAAACAGCAGTTTCCCAGGGCCACCCAGAATTGCTCTGTGGTTAGCCTGGAAGCTGAATCCAAGCTGAAGTCCAGCATTATCCACTGGAGCATTTGGTTAAAGAGCAGACACACCTGTAGGCATGAATCACCCGTTTTTTCCAATTGAGTGACATACATTGTAGTAGTGCTTGATGAACTCTTATTGGATATCATTCTTTTTAATGTCTGCATTTCTTTCCAAGCTTAATCGTACAGAAACTGGGGATGGGATGGGAATTGTGCGGGGGAGGGGGGGCAGACACCGAAAGGCCGAAAAAAGGTGTCTACCAGTTGAGAAACATGTTTCTCAGTCTGAACCTCTGGAGAGGCAGCATCAGTCAGGGAAAACAGTAGTGAAATAGATGTTCTAATGGCTTGATCAGTATAAGCCTCTTTTATACATTCACATGTTCTGAGCCTATGGGCTCCTTTGGAATTCACAAAATGGCTGCCATAGGAGGCTGAACCAGCCACAAAATGGCTGCTATGGCTTACCTTCAGTCTTGCGGTGAAGATCCTTGTAATTTGGTGGCAGCAAAGCAACATTTTTTAAAAATCACAGCCAATCAGATCTCCAGTAGCCAATCAGAACCCATGCTGGACAAAAGCCCCACCTAATCCCATCTGCTTTCTAAAGGCACTTGGTGGCCACCAGGAAGGTTGTCAGGGGGTGCCATGGTTAAGGTCCCCAGGTCCTGGCGGGGGTTCCCCAGATTTTGGCTGGGGGGGAAAACCCTGCCACAAACAGCCATGTTCTGGTGTTACGTCCCCAATGCGATGATGTCACCTGGAAGTCATCCCTTGGGCGGGGTGTCTCGTGGGGAGCTCTGGTTTGAGGGCAAAGCTCTATGGTAAATTTGGCCTAAAACCATAGGGTTTTGCCCTCATAAGAACATAAGAGACGCCAATGTTGGATCAGGCCAAAGGCCCATCCAGTCCAACACTCTGTCACACAGTGGCCAAAAATACCAGGTGCCATCAGGAGGTCCAGCAGTGGGGCCAGGACATTAGAAGCCCTCCCACTGTTGACACCCCCCCAGCACCAAGAAGACAGAGCATCACTTGCCCGACATAATTCCTTTTTGAGCCCATCCATGCTTGTAGCCGCCGCCACTTCCTGTGGCAGTGAATTCCATGTGTTTTTTTAATTTATTTATTGATTTCCTATACGACAATTCACAACAATCAAAAATACGTTCAATAAAAACGTTAAGGTGCAAAAACACGTTACACCGTCATTCAAATCACAGTCCTCCAATACACAATACACAACAAAAACATAAACATTAAATTAACAACAAAATATCTACAACTAATACAACAAATACTACATTAGGGGTTATTAAATTAACCAACTTACTTTCAGGAGATTAAGATAACGA